AAACCAGGGATGGACTGAGGACAGTAAGAGGCTGAGAAGGCCAATGCTTGATTGAATTTGACTCTGCAGGTCTGGATAGCTGACAAACTATTTCAGTTTAAAAAGAAAAAAAAGGGGAAAAAGGCTGGAAACTGGGAGAATAGACAATCTGTACATGAAAAGTGTCACAAAACCTGAGCCAATTAGCCTTAGGTCAAAAGTCATCACAACTTCATAAGGCCATTTGCGGAAATCAAAAGCAGACTGGCTTCCTGATTTTAGTAGACTAGGCTCCAAGAAAGGCCTGGTCAGGTAAAATCTGCATTTATGCCATGGAGGCTGGTTTTTACCAGGAAGTTATTTTACCAAGCTATTATTAATAACAACTAAATTAATCATAACAGTTGACGTTTACATGGCATTTTAAAGTTTGCAAAGCATTTTTGTTCTATTCGTTGGAGGACTCATCAGAGAACAGGCATGGAACGATTTAAGAACTGGTGGCTTTTCAATAGATGGGAACTTGAAAAGCTGCTTCAAGGAGAAGGTGCTAGCAAGCAAACTCCCCTCTGGTCCTAGAAGCTTCCCATTAAAGGTTCTACTATGAAGAGTCAGGAATGTCCAGAATTACTCCTCTGGAATGAATGCAACAGGCTGTTAGGAGAAGCTGAAAGGGACATGTTCTTTTCTTAGGAAGAGCAAGAGAGATTTCTTTATAAATTCTAAAACGGTAAAGACAGACCTGCCATCCTTTTACCCGACCCGCTGATCCCCAAATCACTGGCCTCCCTCTTACCTCAAGGCGTGCACAAAGTTCAATATACTACTGGGACTTGGTGGACATTTTCTCTCTGCCCACCCGCCCGCCCTCCAGGTTTTTTTTTTAAAGGAAATCTTTTTTTTTTCCTTCTTCTTCTTAAACAAAAAGTTCACCCAAGTGCTGCACGGAGATCTTCGGGCAAGGGTTTTCTCACGGAGCTCAAAGGCAGGCAGCAAAGCTCTAAGGCAGTCCCACACAAGCACTCACGTACACACCTCCTTCTACACAAAGTACATGAAAAGCAGCAGGCGATTAATTACCTAAAGCAGCATCATTTCACTCTCCAAGCAAAAACCAGCCTTACAGGTAACTGTCCCAGAAACTGTGCCCATTTCACCTGAAACTGACATCGAAGTCTTATTAGCCCATTTCACAAGAGTCCAAATACCGAAGGAAATGTTTTCCTTACCATTATGTGGAGAATAAAGTGAGCAGGGGAGGGTTTCCTCAAGCCACCAGAGGAAGCCTTTCTTTCTAAGACACTTGTCTCTTTTTTTCCGCCAACAACGGAGTGGGAGGAAAACCACCGATCGTGGGGGAGTCCTCTTTCTCTGGGCTGAGGACCATGAGAAGCTTGAATTCACATAAAAATCTGCGCAAGCGATAGCTGGTCTCTTGCCGCTGTTCCAGGCAGGCGGGGCCAAATCCCAGATTGTGCGTGGGTACCTTTCTCTCTGACAGTTTCTCCTAGCAATGAGACGGATTTTTCCAGTAGTCTTTAACTCCCCAGATTTAACTGACATGGAAAATGTGACTAACAAGTTGTGGAGCTGTGGAGCCTCCAGCCCAGCACAGAATCCACTTTGTCAGACGCGTTGAAGGACCCCTAGCAAGCAGCTACTTGTACAGAGCCCGACCGGAGGGCTGAGGAGCACACCAAAGAGCAGGGCGCCACCTAGTTAGCCGTCGGCGAGGCTTCACCCTCTGCCCTGGCAAAGTGGGGAACACCTCTAGGCGCTGGGTCTGCTGCAAACGCCTGTCAGGGCTCTGGGGCTTTAACGTGTCCATTGTTTATTTAAATGAAAAGGCGGGGGAGGGAGGACATGGGGGGGCGCAAGTATCGCTACTGAGATAATCCATGTCCCGTGGATCTGGGAAAATTTAGGCTATAATAGCATCGGGGCAACTTCTGCACCTAACTTTGATTTACAAGATAAAAGCAAGTTTTAAATTAAAGAGGCTGTCTGCTAATAGAGCTTATTATTCCCAAAGACTGGGGGAATGATTTTCTTCGAAAGTTGTCCCTGTGTGCCCGCCTATTATCTCTGCTTTCCCCTTCCACTAATGAGCATTCATCTAAAGAGCCTGTTAATCCTCTGATGTGTGCTTCTGGTCAGAGGTAACAGTTTGAATAAACCACTAATCACTTATCGCTAAATCAGTGATCATTAATCACACTTTCCTCCACTGCTTCGTACTCAGAGTTTTCCTTCGGGTCTAAGGACCAGGGCTTTGCACTTACATTTTCTTTCTGATTCGTCTATATACACAGTGCATGCACACATCTACATATGTATATGCACAGAGAGTCCCCTATACTTGTGAATACTGGCAATCTGACCCCAAGTGTTCCCCTTTTTTCCTTTGTATCCCCACCGCCTAGCACTTGCCTGGCACATAGTAGGTATTTAATATATACTGGAGGATGGATTGAATGAATGTAAGCTCACACAAATGCCTTCTCTACGAACGCCCCCCCCCCCCAAAAAAAAAGAAAAAAAAAAAAGAAAGCAGAGTTGCATGTGTGTGCTTCCAGGAATTTTCAAACACAGAATATAAATTTTCTTTTATTTAGTTTTCACCAACTTCAAATCCGCCATAGTCCAAATCCCCCCACCCAGCTCCGTTCATCTCCCCTCCTTTTTAAATACTATTTCAGCGCCACAGACACGCATCTTCCAAAACCAAAAAGAAAAAAAAAGGGGGGGGAAATCCTTTTTTCTTTTATCCCTTGAACGTTTCACAGGTAGTATTTTATCTCCACGGCCAGAGAGAATTCTGAAAGATTTCCATAAGGGAGATAAACTTTCTTTTAATGGAAAAAAAACTAAAGGAAAGACTAGGGGTACGCTCCTAATACAGTCGCCTACCCTCCAACTTTCACGGTATTGTACCGGTGGTTCAATGGCCTTTACTTTGGGATTGAAATAGTCTAATGCTGAAGCCTTCCAATTAAAAACTGAACCGACCAATACCCCCATCCCCCACCTCCTACGCCTAACTCTTGCAGAAAATGGACCCAGGAAAGGCTTTCTTTACAAATAAGTATTGGGGGGTGGGGGAGAGAGAAGAGTGTATTATGTATGTATGTGACATATACAATATATAATTTCATATATGTATATCTACATAGATAGATATACATATCTATCACAACAGGGACACAGTGTTATCACTATTCATTCTTCTAAACGATTTCTGATTTCTGAGTGTGCTGCTTTTCCCGGGCGCTAAATATTTTAATAAGCCCTAGAGATGAAAGCTCACTCCCGCCTTCCTTAAATAATGGAGAAGGGCAGATTGTGAGCTGAGCAGGTAGTGTATTCCCCCAACACACAGCAGAAGAGCTCTTACCCACTCATCAGGGACAGCCCTTAGGCAGGGGTAGAATCATAGTGGCGGGGGGGGGGGGGGGGGGGCGTTCTATATTAACACGAGATGCTCAGGGACCTGGCGACTACAGCGATATGGGGGGGGGGGGGAGAAAGGAGAGTTGCTTTGTCAGCATTTCAAATCCCCTGAACCCTAGAGTATCAGAGGCTGTTAATCAAACAACACTTACTAGTCTGCAGAATGACGTAATGGCCCAGTATCCAGGCTTTATTCCCTGACACATGTCAAAGAAGGAGGGATGGAGAGAGGAAGAGTAGAAAAACACAACACACAACCAAACCCAGAGAAGCAGACACCTAACAACGAAAGCCTACACCAGGTCTGGAACCCTAGACAATAGGCTTCCTAGGGGGCAGCCCAAGGATGGAAGTCGAAAAGGATGAGGGAGAGACAGTTATTCATCAGCCTTTCCAACCCCAGCCCAGGGTAGAGGTCCACGGTAAAGGAAGAACGCGAGAAAACTTCTCCCCCGCTCCCCTCCGATTCGGAGTCCTTTGAGAAACATCGTTCAAGTTTGCGTGATTCAATATAGCGGCGCTTCTGCGGACCCTGGCTGGGAAGCCTCGGACTGCTGCCACTCTGCCGCCGGGGAACTGTCATCTCCGGCAACTGTGCAAGGGATGGGAAGGCTAGAGCCCTCAAGTGAGACCGCCGTGGGAGAGAGGAAAGGACAAGAAGGAAAGCTTGCCGGGCCCCGAGTCTCTAGTGCGGGCCTGCAAATTGACAACAAACTTGCCAAGCAGTAACTGAAAGCAACAGATCAGGAAACTCTTTGCAATAATGTTTGCGAGTGAAACCTACAAGCCCGGCGCCCAGAGTGTCAGCCGCAGCCGCCGGAGCAACTCTGGTAGCCCGCAAGAGACAACCGAGGGGAGCTCGCACTCTGCGCGCGGTAACCAGACCGCCCGCCCTCAGGTGAGAACCCCTTCCCTCTTCCCTCCTCCTCCTTCTCTCCGCCATCCGCTCCCATCACCGCCTCCGCAGCAACACTACGGCATTGGAAAAGTTTCTCCGTGCGCTGATTCCTGGGGATCGCTGCGCGAAGTTGCCAAACTCGGGGCTCTCTCCTTGTTCACGTTCGCAGCCGCAGCCGCATTGGTGGGGGATCCCGCAATTTGTCAGGCTTCTGGGGGCAAGAGCAGCCCCGATCCCTAACTGTCCCGCTGTCATTCAGGGAGACACACACGCACACAAGACCCAGCCAGACACACACACGCACATACACCTTCCCACTCAGCATCTCAGCGCAGCCGCTGACCCCATCTCCCAGGCGCGCAAGAAGTGAGCCAGGGTGAATTGGGTTGCTCTGAGGCTTTAGCAGGATTCAACAAGAAAACAGAATAAGGTTCCAGGGGCCAGGCTTCTCCATTCTCGTCCCATTGTTTACAAACACAGATAACCCCCAGGAACACACACACGCACACACAAATCTTCCCAGCGCCGTGCCCGAGCTCTGTCTCCCTCAACTCCTCTCCCTGAGCCTGTGCGAACAAGGCAGGCGTCTTGGTTTGCCCGGGAGGCCAGTGCCACGAGAATATCGAAGTGCAAAAGACCCCAAAGTGACCGATCAGTATTTTTAGGAACTTACCAAACAAGTGTAGAGAAGGGAAGAGCGGAGCCTGGGTGAAGGAACCACGTTGGACTGAGAGAAGATTACAATACAGTCTATTTAGAGCGCATTACATCACCCCCCCTGGTGACGTCACGTGGGATTCCTGAACTTCTAAATCATTGCGGTCCGCTGGGGAGGGAGAGAGGCAGGCCTACAGGCAGAGAGAGAAGGAGGGGGCGTGGTCCGCCCAAACCCCGCCCCTCCCAGGGAGGCAGCTGGGCTACCGAGCGGACCCCGGGACCCGGCGGAAAGCCGCGGCCGCCAGCCGCGCAAGCAACAGCTTGCAGGGCCCAGCGCAGTGTGACGCGACTCCCTGACATTAGCGGTGTGAGTCAGCTTGGAAACAGTCTTTATGATTTCAGAGAGGGCTCTGGGGGAGGCCAGGAGATGGGCTCGCGATGGCGTCGCCTCCTAGGCTTCAGTTGGGCAGAGTAGGGATGAATGGGGCTGAGGGAGAGGGGGACGGCTCTGACTGCAGGATGGGGATGTCCAGAGTGAGGGCTGGGAGAGGAGACCCCCCCCCCTTGCAGGACTACCAGCCGACAGATGTCCTGCTGCTTTCAGTGACAGCGATGACCTGATTATAAGCAAGCTGGCGGCCTGGCCCTTCCAAGAACCCAAACCTTCTTGAGCCCAGTCAAGGGTCAGATTAGTTCTAAACTGTTCTTCGCAGAAAGCCTCTTAGCTCCCCACCCCGGGTCCCGACATCGTCCCACTGAGATAGTGAACCTCCTTAAGTAAAGGAACTAGCCCTGGGAGAAGAAACGCGATTGATGGGACCTCCCGTTCCTCTGGGAGAGGCTGCCTTGAGGAGACGAAAAAAAAAAGTGCTTGTTCATCTTCAGCCGCAGCTTGTCAGGCATTACTGACCTCAATTTCTTTTCTGCAGTTAGCACCGGGGGTGGGGCTTACAGGGAAGTCAAGGGGCTAAATTTGGCTCTGACCCTGGCTGAGCTAGCTCGCTCACTGCCCGCCTGGTGATCTGAACCTCGGGGCTAGGAAGCGCTTTGAGGGCTAGGGGGTTGGGAGGCTGCGAGTTTGCGGGTTGGGGAAGAAGCTGTGTGCCCTTCTGCAGACATCAGCCTTCCTGGCTTTCTGTAACGCTCACCTTTTATTCAGCATCTTTCAGACCAGAACAGCCTTGAGAGGGACAAGTGCATGCAAAGGCATTGCTTTTGAGCCCTCTGCCTGCATAATTACACAGCTGTTGGGCTGGGGGCAGCTTTTGGACTCCCATTTAAAGGGAAGGATTTTCTTCCTGTTTCACTTGGGGCTAGGAGAGCCATTTACCTTTTCTCTCCAATTTTGAACTTAGGAAGCCATTTTCTATCAGCTGTCAGCGTTCGCAGAAGTTCCTAGTCCTCAGTCCTTCACTTTCTCATCTCCTCTCTTCCCACGCCACCTGAAGTCTAAGAAGAGAGGTAGAGGAAGAGCTTCTGCACCTCCCCTTCTCACGTTCTGGTTCAAGCACCAGGAAAGAAGCCTTTTTAAGCAAAAACCCTTCCCATGTACAACCGAGTGAAGGTGTGAGGTAGACACACAGCAGGTTTAGACAGAACTAGAGTTCCACTCAGGGCAGTTCTCAGCTCAAGAGCCAGCCCTGGTATCCCTCAACGTGGAGCAGAGAAGGGAGAGTCAAACGAAAAGGAAAGGATGGGAGTGAGAAGCAGAGCCCTGCAGGGGACAGGGAATTGGGGCAGTTTCCCTGGGTCCCAGTGCTTTGGGTTGGCAACTCAGCAGTGACAAGGGATGGGAGAAAAGTGGGATACAGGAGGTAAGAAGTGACTACTGGTTTATCTTATTTGATCACTGCATTAACTCTAGACACCGGCATGCACACTATATCCAGGACAAAAGCTGATTCCCTCCTACCCCTCTCTACAAAGACCACTTAGTCTGCCCTTTGGCACCCTGCTCCTTCAAGACATCCCTTAATACTCAATTTAACTCTATTTCAGCAGTGTCCAAGTGGACACGACTGGGGGTGGGGGGTGGGGAGGGTGGTATATGCTTTAATTTGTCTAAGGCCCTGCACCCCTAGGGGTGACCCCACTGAAAAGCTCTCAATGTGTCTTCATTATTTTGTTTGAAGTAATAATTCCCAAAACATAAGATACATCTATAGGAAATACAAGTACAAAATGGACATGATTTTGTTACACGTGGGAGTGCTGGAACAGAATAAGGGCCAGGGCAAGAATAAGCGGCATAGGGCACAAACCAGAGACTGGCACACGTGTATGGGCGGAGCACACGGGTTTAGAGCTGCAGGGGTCCTTCAAAGTCAGTGGGTCCAGGCCCTTCATTTTACAGATGTCACACAGCTAGTTAAGTGTCAGAAATGGAATTTGGAATAGAGTCTTCCTGATTCTCAGTCCAGAGCTCTACCCATCATATCATATTAGCCTAGGGTCTGCAATACTCTCACTGGAGTTGAGGGCAAGGAGAAAAGCAGGGGTGGATAAATCCTGAGGGAAGAGGCAGAGGTATGCCATACCTCCTACACTACCATCTGCCATCCCCCTATATGTAGGTACACACATACCTACACACACACAAACACACACACACACACACACACGCACTTACCACACACACACTCTATATTTGACAGCAGAATTAGGCAAATTCAGGAAATGGTTGAATGACTGGACCCAAGAGAATAGTAATTAATAAGTTGGTGTCAATTTGGAGGGAGGTGTTAGGAGACAGTTGCTCGGGCTACCTTTGCCTAAATCTTAACAACCAACACTTTCTTGCCTTCTAGCTATTTAAAATCACAGAAGGAGGCAGGGCATAATCAAGAAAAGGGGCCCCCATTTTGGAGAACAATTTGGAACTATGCCAAAAGGGCCATAAAAATGTGCATACCCTTTGACCCAGCAATGGCACTTCTAGGGCTATATCCCAGAGAGATCCTACAAATGGGAAAATGACCTACATGTTCAAAAATATTCTTAGCAGCTCTTTTTGTGGTGGCAAAGAACTGGAAATTGAGAGGATGCCCATCAATTGGGGAATGGCTGAACAAGTTGTGGTTATATGAATGTAATGGAATACTATTGTGCTATAAGAAATGATGAACAGGCTGACTTTAGAAAAACCTGGAAAGATTTGTACGGTCTGATGCTGAGTGAAATGAGCAGAACCAAGAGAACATTGTACATAATAACAGCCACGTTGTACGATGACTAATATTGATAAACTTAACCCTTCCCAGCAACACAAGAATCTAAGACATCTCCAGAGGCCTCGTGATGGAAAATTCTATCCACATTCAAAGAAAGAACTATGGAAGTTGAATTGCTATTTTTTTTCTCTTCTGTTGAGTTTTGTTTCCTCTTTCTGATGGTTCCTCCTATTGGTTTTAATTTTTACTTACAACACCACTAATGTGAAAATATGTTTAATAGGAACGTAAATGTATAACCTATATTGGATTGTGTACCATCTTAGGGAGGGTGCTGGGAAGAAGGGGGAGAAAAATTTTAAACTCAAAAGCATATGGAAGTGATTATTGATAAATCAAAATAAATTAATGAAACTAAAAAAAAGAAAAGGACCCCAAGGAATCACATAGACTGGACTGAAAACACAGTGTTATATTATGAATAAGGCAGAAAGCTCTTAAATCAAAACTTACTCCTTTCTAGGAAAAAGAGAGGATTATATCCATCAACTGACTTTTATATGGGGAAGAGCTTATAATGAAGAAGATGGGATGTTAGAGTTCAGTTGGCCTGGGTAGGAGCATGGGACTTGACCAGAAATCATAGGAGCAGACATGAAAGAAATGTTTTGGAGTCACCTGTGCTCAGCTGCTTCCCTTTCAGTGATCAAGAGTGCACCTCTGTCTCTGTCTCTCTCTGTCTCTCTCTCTCTCTCCCTCTTTCCTCCCTCCTTCCTCCTTCTCCTCACCTTTCCTCCTCCCTTTCTCATTCCCTCCCTTCCTCCCCTCCCCACTTCTCTTCCTTTCCCCAAAAAGTTCTCCTTAGTTCTTCCCTTTTTAGGTGACCCTGAGAAGCCCAGGACAGGAATCAACAGTTAATGTATCACTATTCTCCTTTTTTCCGAAGTATTTTTTATATCACCTACATTTCCCACTCTATCCTTCTCCCTGCCTTTCCCAAAGAGCCATTCCTTAAAACAAAACATAAAATACAGCCATGGTGGTGCAAACTTGTAATCTTTCCTACTGGGGAGGCTGAGGTGAGTGGATTGTTTGAGCTTAGGAGTTCCAAGATACAGTAGGGCTAAAGCTTATTGGGTGCCCATACAAAATCTGGCACCAATATGGTGAAACACCCCCCCCTTCCAGGAGTGGGGCAAAACTACCATGCTAGTCAGCATCAGGCCCCTGAGTGACCGCTGTACTTCTGGCCTGTGGAAGATGGGGAGAGCCAGTCTCCGAAAAAAGGGAGGAGGCCAAAAGAAAGAGGAAGAAACTCCCCAAAACTAAACAACACATTCCAAAACTCTGGCTTTATATGTATTGCTCCATACTAATGGGTCTCCACCTCTTCAAAGAAGCAAAGGAAGGTGTTCTCTACATTTTTCTTCTTTGAGGCATTATCTTAATTTCCAAAACAATTGGGTGTTATATTTTCACGATGATTGTTAAGGATTCACCATAGACAAGTCATTTCTTGATGGAGTTGTAGGTTAACTAGGATTTCCCCCTGGTACCCCCAAGTGCTGGATAGCTCTCTCCACGTGGAGTGGGTTTGTATGTCCATTAGTGAGGTAAGCACTTTCTGGTCCATATGCCCAATGGTTATCATTGCCTGGGTGATCTCCAGGTGTTTAGCCTGGAGAAGAGATGATTCTACAGGGACATGGCAGCTGTCTTAAAGTATTTGAAGGGCTGTCATATGAAAGAGGAATTGGCCTTGTCCTGCTTAGCCCCAGAGGGCAGAAGTAGGATCAATGGGTAGAAATTACAGGGAGGCAGGTTTGGGCTCCACATTAAGAGAAGCTTCCTGAAAATTAGAACTCTGTAAGTGGGATGGGCAGCCCCAGGAAGTAGTGAGTTCCCCCTCCCTATAGGTCTTTGAAGGAGGGCTTGTGGTAATACTATGAGGGGGCATGGCATCTTTTGGGGGGTACAGTTGCACTGATGGGCTCTGGGGTTTCCATCCAGCTTGGAGGTTCTGTCATTCTGGATGTCAGTCCATCTGCTCTCCTCTGAGATACAGCTGGAACCCTGTACCAGGCCTGGAAACACTGAATGACTCTATGGGGTTTCCCACTGCTTCCCTCCATGAGCCCCAATGATCATGAGTTGACTGAGGCATTTGAGATTCTGTGGAATAATATGCAGAAATCCTCTTTAAATCCAAGCCTGTTAGTTAAAGCCCATAATGTGAACGACTTCTGTTCTTTAGAGATGTGTTTTTACATTCTAGATGTAAAGTATCCACGTAAGGTACCAATGGCTGCTCATACACACAATGGTTATTGCATTTGACCTGAGCACATTTCTTAAGGAGCAAGTCCCTTAACCTTGTTTGCCTCAGTTTCCTCATCTGTAAAATGAGCTGGAGAAGGAAATGACAAGCCATTCCAGTATCTTTGCCGAGAAAAACCCCAGTGGAGTCAGGAAGAGTAACAACTGAGCAACAAACATTTCCAGGGTTGTTGTGAGGATTAAATGAGATAATATTTGTAAAGTGCTTTGCAAGCTTTGAAGTGATACAGAAACACTGGCTATTATTACTTCAGGGCTTTCCTAGTAGCCCCAGTTATCAACGCTCTCTACCTCTTGAAATTACTTTGTGTATGCTCTGTAATCTCTCACTCTTGTAAATAAATACAAATTCCCTTCCCCACCACTACCACCAATAAAAATATAACCACCGTGAGGGCAGGGACTTTTT